AGCAAAGTACGCACCTGGGAATGAGAGTTATTACGGATCCTATGATGAGAAGCCATGCATCCGCCAAAAGCCCTCGTTTAGCAGATATAGGGTGAAATGCCAGAAATAAGGTGGAGATGAATTGGCCTGAACAACTGAGACTATTCAGAAATGTGTCAGTATAAATTGACTAACCAGCCGCATTTTCAATGTTAACTGAAAAATTTCTCAATTCTTTTAGCTATTCTCGTGGTTCTGATTAAAAAAGGACAAAGTATTCGCTTCTTTTTCAAATCTGAAAATGGTTGAGCTCCACCATCAGCCTTCTGTTTAAAAAATCTTAGCATGTAACTTCTTTTTAATTTTGTTTCTACCAGATGAATTCTAATAATTGGTTCTCTGATTCTGATGTTTAGCTGAGTAACTCCAACTATCCACAAGACCAAGAAGACCTCACCCGGTGCAGTGATGGTCAATCAGCATTATTTACCCCTACTATCTATCGCTATAATTTTTTTGGTAAATATGAGTCTTGTTGCTATCTTATATTATTATTTGTCTGTAGAAATCAATATTAGACTTTCCTTAGAAGAATCTCAATGTATTGTCTCTAAAAGTCTTCCAGTTTGTCATGCAGCTTTAATTAGTTACTAGTATCGAAAAAGGGGAACTAAATATCAGTGTAAGTTTCGACCCTTAGCTGCGATATTTTCCAGCGTGCAATTTTACAAAATACAAATCCTTTAGAACCCTAGCGCACAGCCTAGAAATTTGATTTTTCACAAAATTATTAGGGTATCTTCACATAATCATAATCATATAAAGCCTTTCTTAATTTAAATTGGCTCTTATCTCTTTTTTCGAAATTCACTATTCCGGAAAGGGAGTGGGAGGGGAAAGCCATTCCCAATGCGGTAAGATCAAAAAACGAACCCAGTGGGAATGCAGCACTAGCAATTGAGAACACAATGGACTTCTTGTCAACATCGTGAAGCTCGTTGATGACTGACTGCTGGAAGATTTGAAATGATGAGACGAGCGATAAAGTCAGGCCAAGACGCATTCTGAAATAAATGTAGAATTGACCATGATGCGGAAGCAAACCGAATTTTTTTGACGAAGGGCGTAATTGGAGGCAATCATAAGGGCAATTTGGGTACAATCACGGAAGAAAAATGACTGCAACATATAATATGAAAAATCTGCTTATATGGATTATAAAGACTTAGAATAAGTGAAAAGAAGGCCTTGAGAGGATTTTCTTATATTTGCAATATTTTGAATTTAAAACATATAGTTTGAATTTTCGATAATATTTTTCTGCATTTTTTGTTATGACACACCCTCAAGCGTGTTAGAGCAAATAAATAAATCACTCATAAAGTGAATGAGAGAGTAAGTAAATAAGTTTATAGTTAAAATCTCGGCAACACATCATGAAACACAGCAAAAAGTTGTCAAGTGTTGTGTAGTTGCTGCATAAAGGAACATTGATTCAAAAATCGTAGCTCATTGGCTGATCATAGACCACAGTGCATTTAGACTTCACATCAGACAATAGCAAACAACTTAATCCGTTCAAAAGCACTAGATATGAGTTTT